GAAATTTCAGGCGCTTCATCGGATGGGCATCCCGGTGTATTCGGCACGAGCTGGTGCCCGGGCGGGAAGGCCGAGCAGTGGAACGGCGCCCACTAGGGTTCTGATTCTGTTGAGTTTAGCGGTATTTGGGACTGCTCTATCATGCGTCCTGGCCATACAAGTGGTCCGAAAGCGTAAAATTGTGCACGTGGCAAGGACGTGGTTCCCACCAGCTGCTACACATCATGATACTTGCAAGTTCTTTCAAAATTTCATTTGGATTTTGGGTTTCGCTCAAAATTTGTGAGAAAAATTGATGAAACGATAGAGCAATTTGATCGCTGGAATGATCAGCAATTTGATCACTAAAATGATCAGCAATTTGATCACTAGAATGATCAGCAATTTGATCATTAGAACGAGCCATCTAACTGCTAGAGCAGCGCGACAGTCAAATGTGAAAGATCAATAGATCAGAAAGATATTAATTGATTGATCCACAGAGTTGGACGTTCCGGGATTGGAATGGAAAAAGAAAATCAGGTGTAAGGCAGACCTGAAATGAAAAAAATTAGGGTGTAAGGCAGACCTGAAATGAAAAATTCACAATTTCACAAATCAGAACTGAAAAAATTATTGTTCCGTAGACCTGAAATCAAAAAAATTACGACAGAAGGCATATTTCAGGTTCCTCATCAATAATTGCCTTTGACGGGGCTCTAACCGGCCCGGAAAACGACCAACTGCTAAACGCTACAGGCGAGGCGCCAGCGCAGCTGGCCGCGAAACGCGCCCGTCGCCCAGTCTATTCACCAGTCGGCGCCATACCGGAGCCATACCCCTCGGCGGCGACACCCGGGCCGCATGGGGGTGCTGCTGAGTCCCCACTTAAGCCAGCCTCACCTCCACTTCAACATTCCACTGAAATCCACCCGAATAGCGCGTTTTACAGACCTGAAATTGGCTATGACCCCACAAGATGGACCACTCCACTTCACTTGGAAGCTTCAAGCACTGCAGCAATCACGCTACCGGTACTTTTTGCAGATTTTGATCACTTTAAGATC